CTGGAAAACTCTCTCTCTCTCTCTCTCTCTCTCTCACACACACACACACACACACACCCCTCTTTACCTCTCTGCGTGCATGGCTGGAAAACTCTCTCTCTCTCTCTCTCTCACACACACACACACACACACACACACACATAGAGTGTATATTTCGATGTTCTATATTTCCATGTTCCGATTTTGCTTATCCTATCGAAGGAAGTATCCTCTCTCTCTCTCTCTCTCTCTCTCTCTCTCTCTCTCTCTCTCTCTCTCTCTCTCTCTCACACACACACACACACACACACACACACACATCGGAGACTGTGGCCAGCATCCTCGAACGCCATGCACTTTTCAACCAACGTTGGGGCTATAGACATACTGACACCCTGCCCTATCTTTACTTTGCACTCAAAGCACACAAATCTCCATCTGCCCTTTGTCCGATTCTTGGAGTTACACAATGCAACAACCTTTCCCGATCTGCACCTTGCACAACACGTCACTGACCTCCGACCTTCAGTTACGTACCTGCACAACAGACCCCCTCATAAGCCTTTTGCAAGTACAACAATGGCCTCCCACTCACTTCGCTATGCCCTTCGAGGTGTGATCAAGTCCCTCCGCAGTAAGGATAATGAGCTTTATCAAGAAAGTGGTGTATGGCGTTGCTGGATCGTGCGAAGTGCTGAGGAAGTCATTATGGATCTCACGCAGAATGCACAATCCCTTCGAGGCTGTACACCACATACAGCGGACTTCACAACTATGTACACGAACCTGCCACACGACAGGATTCTTAACGATGTTCTGAATGCTGTTCGTGAAGCACATGATTATGCTTTGGGGCGGATCTCACAGGACAGAAGGCCAGTACAGATGTATATGACTATAGGAGGTCCTCATCGTGGGGACTGGGTTACTTCACATGGGTCAGACACCCTCTCGCTGTCAGAAATAGAGCAACATCTGCGGTTTGTGGTCTCTAATACGTACCTCTATACGAGGGATGGCACTCTGCACCATCAGGTGGTCAGTATCCCTACGGTCACTAATGCTGGACCAGAAATTGCCAACCTCACGCTTTATTGGGACGAAGCACAGTTCATCGATGATCTTCGTCAGCAAGATCTGCGTATGGCGCAAGCATATGCGTTCACATATCGATTCATTGATGACATTCTATCCTGGAAGACATTACTGCCGTCTCCTGCTCGGTATGGTCTTGAGTGGAAGACACTACTGAGCAAGATGGGTCATGTCTTTTCCTTGGCGAACCTGCGGAATCGAACGAGGATCCGCCTGCCGTAAACAGACCCCCCACGCAACCTGCGGAATCAGACAATATCATAGCGCTACAGCGAGGGCGCTGTGCATACTATGCCATTAATGTATGTCTCCTTGCTTACGACTGTAATCCTTATACTGTTGCTAATTTCGCAGACGTTGTTCGCTGGATAGAAGAAGAGCACCGTGCCGTCTGCCTAGAGGATGACAGCGCTGTGCCTGGGGTGAAGATAGAAGTCCTGGCTATGGCATTTATGGGTAGGCGACTGCAATTCCAGCCTGATCCACACAACCACGAGCCAGGCACGGATCCGAATATTCAGGCATATATCTTATATCGTCCAGGTCACTTCAGTGCTCTTACCTTTGCAGATAATCCATGGACCCTATGGGACAATGGCAGTAAGGTGCACACAGTGGGAGTTATTAACTCTCTCTATCACCAAATGCTAGAGGGTCACTCAGTCTGGCTCATCCATCAGGAACAGTATGTCGATGAGCATTTGCAAGCACTGCACCCCCCGGAGAGCAATCCGGCTGATTCTACCACAAACAGTGAAAGGACCTCTCCACAGGATGATGGCTGTGCCCTCCCGTTGTGTCGTCGCACAGGTGCAGTTCGGTTGGCATGTACACGACATAACCACTGCTCCGAACACTATGAAGGGATGGTCGCTGCTAGCCTCTCACACAAAAATTGTGATCGCCAGTCCTGTGCTCATCCCCCCCACCCCCTGATTACTTGCCCAGCATGCCGTTGTGGCCTTGATCTGCCATGCTTAAGTAACTGTGCACGTCAGCCTTCCATACAAATGACATGTCAGCAACATGCCGTGTGTCGTCAATGCTTCCAGGAAGCTGTCATAGAAAGTATGTGTCTTTACTGCGTGGACTATCCCCGGTGCCATCAACCTCCACATCCTCTCCTAGCATGTCCCACATGCGGTATTGGTCATACACCTACGGCAACCACTGACGGATCTCCCTCTTTCTTGCCAGACGAACGACGAACACAGCAGTCCGAACCATGGGCAGAGCGATGTGCTCATAGTTTATCACCACCAGGGCGAGCTGTTGTGAATCATATCCTGCAGCAGCTGAATGCCCTTGCGTTGGACCGATCCTCCCTGTCGTCGTCTGCCCATAGAGAAGGAATACACACTGAGGAAGCCCAAGAAAGATGCTCCATGCCGTTTTGTGATGACCCGCCGGAGATTCAACTAGCATGTGGTTCCCATGCCTTGTGCCGTGAGGATTATAAAGGTATAGTCCATGCGAGTTTTCGCTTCCATACGTACGATGACAGTCATTACTGTACTCATGTACGGCACCTCGACATGTCATGTCCAATTTGTAGACACGGGCTGGAACGGCAATGCCACTATAATTGCGGTCGACGTGCCTCTGTGTTCCTAGCATGTACGAGCCGCGCAGCCTGTGACATCTGTCTGTGCCGTGCCATTCGGTGCAGCAACTGTGACTGCGAAAATTGGATGCGGTGCTTCCATAGCCCACACCCGAACTGGTCCTGTCCGGTCTGTAGGGGTGGCCACTCGCCATAGTTAATGTTGCTGGCCTTTTTTTTTTTTTTTTTTACTAGAGTAGTCTGCTTCAGCGGTGGATATTTAGAAATCTGTGAAACCCGTCATACACCTTTCCCCTGCTCTTTGAATGTCATACTCTATCCTGCCCTCCACATATTTCTTTCCTTCTCAATTCTAATTTGCTGGATTGATCGATGCTGAGGCTTTCTTTTACGTATGTATTGTACGGTCGGTCTTGTGAAGTGCATACTCCTAAAGAACTCCGCCTTCTATCGCTTAGCCTCCACCCTCCCCTCCACTCCCTTTGTACTACTAACAAATACATACGAATGAGCATCATTAGGAGAATAGACAATATGAAGATCATAAATGAGATGAATGGAAGTATGAAGATGAAGGACAGACACAAAGACTGTATAAGCTGAAGATCTGAAGTGAAATGAACAGGAGTATGAAGCTCTGAAGATGAAGGACAGACACAAAGACTGTATAAGCTGAAGATCTGAAGTGAAATGAACAGGAGTATGAAGCTCTGAAGAGATGCACAGGAGCATACCTTCCCTTTTACTCTGCCTCCTGAAATAACGAGCAAGTGGGCCGTGAAGGCACACTGGGCTGTGGGGAGCTGCCGCCTGAAATAATGTGCAAGTGGGCCGTGAAGGCACACGGGGTTGTGGGGTGCTGCCTCCTGAAATAACGTGCAAGTGGGCCGTCTGCCCAGAGGATGACATCGCTGCGCCTGGGGTGAACATCGAAGTCCTGGCTATGGCATTTATGGGTAGGCGACTGCAATTCCAGCCTGCTCCGCAAAACCACATGCCAGGCAGGGATCCGAATATTCGGGCATATATCTTATATCGTCCAGGTCACTTCAGTGCTCTTACCTTTGCAGATAATTCATTGACCCTATGGGACAATGCCGGTAGGGTGCACACAGTGGGAAATATTAACTCTTTCTATCACCAAATGCTGGAGGATCACTCAGTCTGGCTCGTCCATCAGGAAC